GCTAAGATGCTCAGCTCCCAAATTCCCAGCAATGTGATGCTCCCTGTGGGGTTCCCAGTCCTCGGAGGCTTCCCAGCTTCTGGAGATTCCCAAATCCTGGGCCTGCTCAACTCCCTGTGGGTTCTCCAGCTCCCAGGCACTCCCCAGCTCCTGGGCTCCCCAAATCCCAAGAATGTTCAGCTTCCTGTGGGGTCTGCAGCCCCCAAGGCCTTCCCAGCTCCTAAAGATCCCCCAAATCCTTGGAGATTCTCAGCTCCTGGGAAACCCCAAATCCCTGGGCATGCTCAGCTCCCTGAGGGTCCCAACTCTCCAGGCACCCCCAGTTCCCTGGGGGATCCCCAAATCCCTGTGGAACTGCAGCTCTCAGGGAACCCCCAGCTCCCAGGGGGATCAGGCAGCTCTGCTCCTGCTCTCCCTGGTTTTTGTCATTTTTGTCATTTCTGCAGTTGCTGTTGCAATAAAAAGTGGGAAAGGCCCTGGCTGCCCCTGCCTCCTGCTCCAGGGGAATCCCCCCAGCCCTGCCCTGCCCCTGGGGGGGCTGGCACAGGACTGGGGAGGTGTTTTGGGGACAAACAGTGCAGTTATGGGCAAATCCAGGGTGTGGATGTGCAGAGTATGGCAAAGGCAGGGTCCCCTCCCAAAATCCTTATGGAGCCCACAGTGGGGTGGGACTGGGAGGAACTGGGAGGGCCCCACCCTGGAGGTGCACAGGGGGCCCCAAAGGAGCCCCCAAAACCTGGGACCCCCCCCAGCAGGGAATGTGGGGAGCATTTCCCTTCCCATCCCACTGGTGGCTGCTGCAAGTTCCCGGGTGTGACGTGGGTGCCAAATCCTTGATCCCACTGGGATCAGCAGCTGCTCAGGNTCCGGAGTTTGGGGGGCTCAAATTGTGATCTTGGGGGCTGTAACTGGGGATTTGGGAGCTGCATCCTGGGTTCGGGGGGATTGTATCCAAGTTTGGAGGTTGTATCCCGGTTTGGGGGGGTTCGTATCCAGGTTTGGGGGGGGTGTATCTCGGGTTGGGGGTTTTATCCCGGTTTGGGGTTTGTATCACGGACTTGGGGTTTGTATCCCGCTTTAGGGGGTTGTATCCCTGTTTGGGGGTTGTATCACGGGTTTGGGGTTTGTATCCTGGTTTGGAGGTTGTATCCCGGCCTGGGGGATGGTATCCCGGGTTGGGGATGGTGTCCCAGTTTGGAGGTTGTATCTCGGTTTGGGCTCGGTATCCCGGGTTGGGGGTCGGTATCCCGATTTGGGGTCGCTATCCCGGTTTAGGGGATGATATCCCGGTTTGGGCTGGGTATCCCTGTTTGGGGGTTGTATCCCTGTTTGGGGTCGCTATCCCGGCCCGCTGTGACCGCTCCATCCCCTCCGTTCCCGCAGTCCTGCTGACGGGCGGCATCGTGGCCGTGGCGGGGCAGTTCAAGGGCTGGTACTTCGCGGCGTACTCCATGTATCCTTCCCGACAGCATTCCCGGGGCTGGGCTGCGGGAAAAACTCTTCCCTATTGGGATGGGAGGCATGACCGGGCAGGGGTCACATCCTCATCTCCCCACCCTGCTCCTGGCTGTGCGTTCCCTGCCCCACACAGCCCTTTTGGGGTGTCCTTGGGGCCATTCCCGTCCCATCCCACCTTTCCTTGACGCCCCGGCAGCGCTGCAGGCGTCCTGGTGTGCCTGCTCGAGTATCCCAGGAGCAAACGGAAAAAGGGCTCCACCATGGAGAGGTGGTGAGTGCTGGGTCCCCCCACCCTGCAGCCATGGGGGTCCCTGGAGGCTGGCTGTCCCCCGAGGGTGGGGACACCCCCAGTGACCCCCCTGTTGTCACCCTGCAGTGGCCAGAAGTACCTGACAGCCGTGGTGAAGCTGCTGGGGCCCCTCACCAGGAATTATTACATCCGAGCCATCCTCCACGCTGCGTGAGTGGGGTGCAGGGTCGGGGCTGGGGGCTGAGCCCCCCCAGCTCCCTCTGAACCCCAAATCTCTGTCACAGCCTGGCTGTCCCTGCTGGATTCCTCCTCTCCACCATCCTGGGCACCGTCTGCCTGGGCATTGCCAGTGGCATCTACCTGCTGGTGAGTGCAGAGGGGTTTTGGGGGTCTGGGTGAGGGAGGCCACCCCTAAAACTATTCATCAGTGCTTCTGTGTGGATTCCAAAAGCATTCCCAGATTGTCCTGATTGGGATGGGCAGGGGTCACATCCTCCTTCCCCCTCTGGTCCCCCTGTGCTTTCCCTGCCCCACAGCCCCTTTTTGGGGTGGGGGTTGATCCTTGGCCCTGCTGTG